CTAGCCATAATGTCTTGCACAGACACAGAGACGACCAAATTCAGGGATGTTCGCGGGGGAGAGTCTAGGAAGGGGCAGACGGAAATCCTAGTCCTAGATTAAGCCATACCAGGTGACTGGCTGATAGCTAACCTAGGGCGTGCCGTGTGTATTTGTGAAACCATTTTTAATATAAAGAAAACACAGACGATAAATAAAGCGAGAAAGAGGAGAGAAACATGCGGTTACTTTATGAAAGAGAAGGAACTTTTGAAACTGCTGAAGTTTGTGATTGTTGTGATATAGGCGGACAAGACACAGGCGGCAGCTGTGATTCTCTCTTAAAAACTCAAATTCTCTCTCGAAGATTTTTCGTAAAAGTGCGAAATGAGGGGGGACCGGGGGGGGGGGTAAAAGACTATTTATAGAACGGTAAAATTCAGGGGCATCTCTATAATTCTCCCCAGAAGGTGGAACGGTTAAAATAACCGCCATCCATGCATGCCTGATAAGAGTCACAGGCGCCATGTGGCATGCCACGGTTAAAATACCCTAGATACGTGGATCATTCAGCTCGTGACACGTGTCACCCTAGGAGGTGCCCAAAATGGGCCAACCAGGATAAGACACGTGGCACACACATCATAAGGGGAAATGATGGCCTTCATGGGCTCAAATCCCGAGGCGCTGTAAAACGGCACAACCCAATTACCTAGGTTAAATGACCTAGGTAAGGGCACTAATTCCCATGCCCTATAAATAGGGACAATTATTACCTTGAGAAGGGCACCTTGATTTTATTACAACAATCATTGAATACAATATTCTCTTACAACAGAGAAAACACCAGATCTTAGTATCCGAGAAGATTCACTTTACTTTCCGCATTTTACTCGGCTTCGACACGTACTAACTTGATCGTCGGAGGCAAAACTCCGAACAACTGGAGCTTCCGTTTGTTGCAGGTATAGGCGTCCAAGGATCCAGTCTTAGAGCTGTAACTCTCCCGCAGGACACATCATAAGACCCCGAAACAAGTTACACAACCACTTTAGCTAAATTGATCAAGTCAATGGTTAAAATCACAGGGAGAAAGAAAAATCAAATGAGTAAAAACTTTGGCATGCAAAGTATACAAAGATTTAACACATCGAATTTTGCAAATGCGAATAACCTTACCTCCCCAACAGAAGCCAGCTGCTCCTATCTTACATATACTTTCTGTTTCAGAGATTCAATTATCGGCTTTGCCTATTCATACCCTTTGTCCTGAAGAAATGAATCATATGCATATTAATTTCTATAATCAGTTAGTAAAACTGGCACACACAAAACTTACTGTTATAATTCTGAAAATTTTACAGTAGTCGTTTGAAATATGACTACCATTATGTTTTAATGATTATATAGTTGATAATTGACGTATTAATTATATTACTTAATTAATGGTATTAAATTGTATTATCAACATTTTTTTGATTTATCAAATTTTTAGTTTCATTTATGTGATTTTTATTCTTATTTTATAGTTTCTCAAAAAATATTTATTTTATGTTGGATTAAAATTTTCAAATTTTATATTTATATTTAGATATTATAAGACTAATTGTGACTATTTTATAACATGAAAAAATAAACCAATCATATCATATATCTTTAAAATAATATGGTAGTTATTTTTCAAATGATTGTAAATAATGATTGCTGTAAAATCATCCGTTATAATTCATTTTTGTCCGCATTCAAAAAAAAAGGCAAACTCACAGCTCCATGGTCTTTTAGCCAAACTGCTGGTGGTCTATTATGGTTATCAGGATTGTAGTGATCCCCGTGGAAGAAATCACAAACAATTACGTAATAACTAGCAGCAGCAACTTTGTCTGCGAGCTTCCTGTACGTAGGAGTACGCCATTGATGTCAGTGTTCGATGGTGCAAAATCACAAAAAAAAGTAGAATTAGTAAATTACCATCAAGTATATCAATGTAATCCTACAGAGGGGACGAAAAAAACTCTCTTTTTTCTTCCTCTAGAAATTTTTTGAAAAGATTGACTGAGCTGTTGTGCGATGTAGGGATTAAGGCTTTGGTTGAATGATTGACTGAGCTATTGCGCGATGTAGGAAGTTATTCACCATGTATGGGAGGAGCACAAGAAGCTATTGTTCATATGACATATGGTGGCATTTACATTGTAGGTGCAGTTAGCAGTTAGCACCAAGCAGTTACAACTTACAAGTATTCACTAAGGCTATGTTTAGTTAAGCTTATTTAAGCAAATATTTGCTTGTTTCAGAAATTCTCGTTGTGAATTTTAATCAAACATTGATAATCTTTATACTGTTTTCCCAATCCAAGCTAAAATTAGATTGAAATATGGGAAATTAAAGTGGGATGAAGCACAAAAATCAACATTAGATTCCAAAATTGAAAAATCAAGTAATTTATTTTATGCATGAAATACCTTAAGTTTGGAGCTTCATAACCTCCAATTAAAGACAAATACAAAATGAAAAGAAAATTATTAGACATTATGATTGCAAAAAAAAAAAAAAAAAAAAAAAAAAAAAAAAAAAAAAAAAAAAAAAAAAAAAACTGAATATGCACTACTTCCATCTTTTAAGACATTTGAAGTACTCGTAAATTTTGAATTTCACTTCAGTCTCGTGACAACTACTACGACTAACAAAATATATACTTTGTAGAAAGAAAATAATTAGTTATAGATAATTTCAATATGAGAAACTTATCAAAAAAGTCTGAGATAAGAAGAACAACAAGGTTGGAATGAGAAGAGCCAGTGACATGTGATTTGAGGCACCAATAACTTCAACATGCCCAATTCCCCTATTTGGGTTCAAAGCTGGAGGATTCATGCAACATTGTGGCCCTATCATTTTCAATTTTTTTTTTGAATAGAATAGAGTTTAGAATGAGAACTAGATTGTTTTCTTTTGGATAAAACGCGAAGGTAAGTACGGAGTACCTCTTATTATTAATAGCATTGTAATAATTAGTAGCAATTACATTCTCAACTACTCCTTACTAAAGGACTCTCTCCCACCCAAATTGTTGTTCAGTATGGATTATTCAAGATTGAAAATAACACCATCAAATAATAAGCTGTTAAATTATGACTCGAAATCTTATAGGGCTGACTTTAAATGCATATATCTCTCAAACTACAAGTGAGTTTGAGATGATTCAAGTTGCAAATGATACCTTGTTTCAAGAGCTTGCAACGATAGGTCATATGCCCAATTTTGATAAGAAACGAGAAAGTTATGGCCGTTTTACAAAAACCTGACGAAGCTGGAAAATTGCGACGAGCAGGCGAGCTAATGCTCTAGGCGAGTGAAATGTAGCTCGGCCCTTTGAAGACTTGCGGTAGGCTTGAGCTAGCTGCCGAGCTATAGCTCGGTAGTTCGGTTCTTTTAGGATAATTTATGGGATATTTCCTAAAGTTATATCTTTTCTATGACGGCTATTTGAGTATACTTGGAGAACAATTTAGGGTATAATTAGGGTTTCCTTGTGTTATAAAAGGACCGTTTAGTTGATCAACTAGATCATACCTTTTGAGCCATTAAATTTAGGACTCCTTGTATTATTCTTTCGTTCTTTCTCTATTATAGTGAAGAACCTCTCGAATCTCCCACTCGTGGATGTAGGTCTAATTTGACCGAACCATGTAAATCCTTGTGTTCTTTGTTTATCTTTTTTATTGCTTTTCTCGTTGTTATTTTTTTATTGACTTGTTCTGCATTAATTAAACACGATTACACCCTTTATTTCCTAACATAATCTAATTAATTACGAGCCATTATAATTCACACACTTTGCTTTCATCCATTTGAGTTGCACTTGTAAATTGTTAGCCTAAAACCTCTGTCTTCACTTCGACTATCACCGAGTCTAGAGCTTACCACCATTGTTGGCATGCGACACGCTGCACACTCTTACATGATCCTGCACCACACCAAGTCACCAATACTTACTCCCACTTCTCCGGACTTCGCTCCACCCGTGCATTCACTTTTCAGTCATCCAACTTCAGGAAAGGACCACGTCGTGTCATCTCTACTGCTAGTCTTCGTGACTGACTTCTAGGCAATGTTCTTCTATTTGCTGTAATAGTGAGCGTGTATTAAGTTGCATGAACTTAGCTTTCAGAGAGAGAAATGTGAACATTCTCTTACTATGAGAAAACCGAGAAGCGTATCTATCTGTTCCGGGTGTGGATCAGAGTACTTATGCTTAGGGCTCATAAATATCTCTGATCCGATCTGATACCAACCCTTAGGGATTTTAAGTTGATTATGTTCGATAGTGAGTAAAGTAAAATTCAGGTGTATGTAAAGAATAAATAAATCGTACATTTGAAATGTAATGTAAGGATATTTATAGAATACCAAAAAGTACATATGCTACCTAGGGGTGGGCTCTGGTGCTTGTCAAGTGGATGTTACTCTCCTAATACATGGATATAAAGATGAATATCCACTTGTCTAGGATGATGTGGTGGAAGGAATAAACTTATTACTCAAACATACCCTTATTACGGAGTATTAAATATCCTTGTGAGCTTGGAAGTGTTTGGTCATTTTATATCATTGGTTTTGATCACAAATAAATCAAAAGAGAATGAAATTATAATTATTAGATTTCAGAGCATGGCCAATGGTTCTAATCATAACCAACTGGACTTGGGCAACCATTGGTCATGCTCTTACTCAAACCAAAGTAAGAGTCTTGATTTTTTTATTGTAAGAAAACCTAGAAATACATTGTATAGCCCATGTCATAGAAAATTAAAAAGCCATATTATGTAAGTACTTGAAAATAACCTTTGTTATATTGTAAAGATTTATTTCCTCGGTTAAAATATGCAATATACAGCATACTATGTAGTTCGCATTTGATAGGGAGCGATTTGGATTATGAACAATTAAGCTGCCAACTAATTCTAATTCGAATGAATACGTATTACGTAGTAGTATGTATGGAGTAGTAAACAAGAATATGAATGGATTAACCAACAAGTCACACATTTAGGTGATTATTTCTTCAATATAACGTCATAGAACATATATGCACATAATATCTGACACATTTTCATACTTAAAATGTGACGATGTGGTCTTAGTTGATGTATTTCTTAAACCAATTCAACATATCCTTATGAGCTTCTTCAGCAGACTTAACAGCAGCTGGATCTTTAGGGTCATATCTCATTGTCCACCCATGTGCAACTCCAGGAAATATTTTCACATATCCATCCACCTATAAACAACCAAGTCACATAAGCTAGATTTCTGTACAACATTACGGCGTAATAAACTCTCTCCTGCTGGTATCATCAGATCAAAACTTTTTTTTATTGACACAACCCAAGCCCTTATTATCATCTCTTCACCAGAACAAAAGATGTTGTATCTTATTATCGACGTACCTTAGGATGCTTAGCTTTCATGGCCTCCTCAAATTGCTTCAGGAGTTCAGGCGGAGATACTTGGTCAAACTCTGCCCCAAGAACAGCAATTGGTACCTTCAAACCTGTCATAATTAACAAATAAGATTTAAGTTCATTCAATTGAAAACCAAGTAATTAATATTAAGAGCTTCAACAATTTAATTGCAAATTAAGTATGGGGTTGAATTGGCTCATCAATGGATCGGACATTGGCCTTTGATCAATGATAACATACATGTGTGTTCGTACATGCTAGTAGTATAAATATGAGCAGGCGGCTTCATTCGAGCAGGAATGAAGATCGAGTAACAACCTTAAAAATACACTACTTTTACTATTTCTAACATACCAAAGGTACAAACACCCCTGCCATCAAGACATCAACCCCTTTCATCACAAAAAGGGTAGACAACGTAAACAAAGGCGCATAACCCTTTAAACAAAACAAATTTTACAAATTAATTAATCTAAGACATCCATTATTTTACCTTTGATATCATCCACAGTGACCCCTGCAGGATGTAGCAGAACGCCTGCCTGTATATATGCATCACTTTGGGCTAGTAGCGCAGTCACTTTACCTGAATCGAGTAAATGATTGAAAATTATAGTACGAAAGAAAAGGAAATTAATGAGTACAATTATTTAGTATGACTTAACATGTGCATCTAATTGCAAATATTAGTCAATTATAAAGGAAAAAAGTATGAAACCTTAGCTTACCTCCCCAACAGAAGCCAGCTGTTCCAATTTTACATATACCTTTCTGCTTTAAAGCCTCAATTATCGGTTTTGCCTCTTCGTATCCTTTGTCCTAAGAAATGAATTCATATGCATAGATATCAAATCGATAATCAGTTAAATAAAAACTTACATTCATTCATTCTAATAGGTACAAATAAAAAAAAAATGAAAGAAAAAAAATTACAGTTCCATGGTCTTTTAACCAAACTTGTGGTGGTCTGTCAGGGTTATCAGGATTGTAGGGATCCCCATGGAAGAAATCAGGGACAACTACGTAATAACCAGCAGCGGCAACTTTGTCTGCGAGCTTCCTATACGTACATAGGATGATTAGGTCGTTGATGTTAGTGTCCGATGTTTTGCAAAAGAGAAAAAATATAAAACTCTCTTGTTTTCTTCCTTAAGAAAAATTTTTAACATTGCTCTAGGATGTAATTCACCATGCAGTGGAGAAACACAAGAAGATATTGTTTGTTTAATGGCATAAAGCATTAGACTTAACTGTTTTTTTATTTTAGTGAATTTTAGGAGAAATGGTGACTTTTAATTATATGATTTGGACTAACACTAATAAGAAATTTAGAGTGACTTAGCCTGCTCCTACTGTATAGAAGTTTTCCACAACCCATTGTGAAGAGTATTTCTCAATCCATCCCAGACTAAACTTATCTAAGCTTCTTTTTTTCCCCTAAATTTGTCTTTAAAATACTTGTGTGTGTGTGTTTTTTGGAAAATTTTCAACGGTGACCCCTAACTTTTGCTATGCACCAATGCTAACCTCCCATTTTTTTTTTAATTATTATTATACAAAATGACCTTAGTTAAAAATTTCATCCCACTCATAACCTTATTTCATTAAATATTAACTATGATTAGATTTGTATTATTTTTTACAAAAAGAATGACACCTGCCAGCCACTATCACCCTTTCCGGCGAAGCTACCCTAGGTTTCTCCGACCGCCGGCGATGCTACTCAGGCTCCCCGACTGCTAGTGATGCTGCGCTAGCTCTACCTTGACCATCGCTAGTTAGATTCCCAAATCCCCACCCACGACCCTCACTCTCTCTCCTCCTCGACCAAAACCAACCTCACGGCGAGAATCGAAGGTCAAAGGAGAGAAAGTTGTGAGGTTAGGGTTCAGGTCTACGCGGTGGAAAGGGTGGAGGCAATGGTTCGGCGGTTTGGTGGGAGGTCGGCGTTTCAGATGAGGGGTTCGGTGGCTCCGGTGAGGGTGGAGGTGGTGCTGGCCTGGCTACGTTTGGTGGGGATGAGGGTGGAGGTGGTGGCTAGGGTGGTGGTTTTTCTTTTTAGTTTTTTAATTTTCAAAGCTAACCATAGTTAATTATTTATTAACTAAATAACACTAATTAATGTCATAAGTAAGATAAATTTCATAATTAGGGTCATTTTGTATAATAAAAAAATAGGGAGGTCACCATTGGTGCGTAGCAAAAGTTGGGGGTCACCATTGAAAATTTCCCTTTTTTTTTTAAATGAAATAAGTAAATATGAGGTGGGGGTGAAACCTGAACTAGAATCTTAAATAATTAAAATAACTCCTATGGATAACCTTTTTAACGTAACATTTAGTAATTGATCAATCCCAAATATTGATGTATATACTCTAGAATACCTTAAGTTTGGAGCTTCATATCCTGCAAAACAAATACAAATACCAAATGCAAAGAGAATGATCAGCCATTTTGATTGCCACAATAATAGCAAGTAAGTTGAATAAAATCTAATACTCCGTATGTACTACTACTTTGGTTTGTATAATACAACTGTACAATATTTCGACTTTTTACATTATTAGTTCAATAACAACTTTAAGTACAAAAAAAAAAAAAAAAAAAATATATATATATATATATATTGGAATTTGATTTATTACTGAAAGGAATTTCATAAAGGATTTGGGTCAAAAAAACTTACCAAAAAAGTCAGAGATTAGAAGAATAGCAAGTTTAGAATGAGAAGAGCCAGTGACATATGAATTGAGGCCACCAATAACTTCAACATGCCCAGCTCCACTGTTTGGGTTCAAAGTTGGGGGATTCTTGCAGCATTGTGGCCCTGCCAATTTCAATTTTGTTAAGCATAAACTGGAGAGAAATTCAGACTTTGTCACTTTGAGCATATATAGCATTGCAACTCGCAAGCTCATTATGCTCTTCATCCAAAAAAATGTATCCACAAAAATTTCAATAATCCAATCCAAGTTAGATTTCAATGGTTTGGATCCAATTCGAAATCCAAATTAAAATAACTTTCATTTTTATTTGGGCCAAATGATCCGTAACACAATCATAATTTTTTTAAAAGAATACAAACTAACATTCCACAATCCTGAAATATAGAGCATTTTGGGAAAGTTTAATTATGTTAGCTTATTGCTGGTGCGTAAGTTTTAAAAATAATACCTACCTCTTTTTTTTAGTTGCCACGTATTTTCTTTTAGAAAGTTTATTTTTAGTTGACATGTTTTTTTTTTTTTTTTTTTTTTTTTTTTTTTTTTTTTTGGGTAAGTTTTATATTTTGTATTTACTATCTACCCCACTTACTTTATCATTCTCTTTTCTCTCTCTCTCCTCTCCTTAATATGTGTGTCTAAATTGAAAGCGTCAACTAAATAGAAACGAAGGAAGTACTTCATAGTTGACAAACCTAACACAACAACATAAATGGGTTGATGTAAAACCTTTATCATCTAGTGGTCAACACAAGCTTTATCATACAATAAATGGATTAGATTAGTGTTAAAATTGATAACTTAAAAATGCACTATCTTCCGTATTTCGATTAAATACATAAAAAATTAATATTTTAATTAATCTATCGAGTTAGTGTCAAAGGCTCATGAGTCATGACGCGTTATTTACCAAGAACGATCACAAATTTGACACAACATGTTTCATCTATCCCTCAATAAGTCACCGATACATTTCGACTTTTGCTCAAGGTATAATTGCATACAAGTATGAATTAAAAATTGTTGGATTAATCTCAATGAATCAATGTACATTTTTCCAATTTAAACTTTTAAAATCTTTTATTGTTCTGTAATATATAATTAAAGATATTGATTATCAAAATTATAATTCGATATGTGAGAAAATAAGTTTAAATATTTCATCATTCACACAGGGTTTTTTTTTTATTTTATTTTTTTTTGTTCTCCTAACTTCTTACAATGTACTTTATTAGTATCCTCCTTATTTATCATCCCTTCATGTATTGGGATGGGGAACAATTCTATTCTTACATCTATCCCTCAATTTACAAATCTCTACCCTTATTCCCCCCTCCCCTGCCCCCAAAACAAACACCATGTGAAGTCCTTAAAGGCTCTAAGCCAAGACTTTTTGTAGGTTCAAGTAATCAAGTTGTAGTATACTTCAATATGGAGTGGATGATATTCAATTATTAATTGATGCTTGTTTTTAGGGACCTAGTTTTTTACTCCCTCCGTTTATTTTTTATTTTATTTAATTTAATTTTAATTTTTTTTTTTAAATTGTATCACTTAGAGATTTTACTCTATTTATATACTCCCTCCGTTTTTTTTAAGTGTCCCATACACTTGGACACATAGTTTTAGGTAAAAGAATAAGATAGTAATAAAGTGGGTATTCTTCTTCTTCTTCTTTCTTCTGCTTGAACGCCTTAATCCCATAAGTGGAGTCAGCTACATGAACCAACATGAGGACTTCCCAGGAGGTCACCCATCTTAGTACTACTCTCAATTATTGTGACTCATGTCAAGCGATGTGACAAAGTTTTACACTGACCGTCACTAGCCTACCGTAACCCTCCTCCCTTATCCAGACTTGGGACTGGCAGCGGGAAACCCACTGGCGGAGTAAAAAAGTGGGTATGATTAGGAATAAATAATTTGGAAAATTAAGAGAGAGAAATATGAATGAGATCACTAGAAATAATGTGAGAGGGAGAAAAAATTTAGGAGCATATTGTTGGATTAATTACAACGATTATTTTTATAATTTTCTTTTTATCAATGATTAAAAATATTAATGATTAGTGTTGTATTCGGCAAATGTGCAAACTCAAGCTATGCATTAAACAAATAGAGGGTGTACGAGTACCAACTAAAATATATTCGATGTGAAACCATTAAAGCCAAATTTTTATATATGTAGATAGGTTGAAGTAATCAAGTCGCAATACTTCAATATGATCCGGTGGATGATCTTCATTGATGCTCGTATGGGCTTACTGGCCTACTCCGATCCCTATCCCCCTATAAAATGTTTTCGATGTAAAGTCATTTAACCCAAGTTTATATGTAGATTCAGCTCATTCAAGTAATAAAATCGTGGCTTCAATATGATGCAATAGATGATTTCATTGATGTTCATAAGGGCCTCCCCCGTTATTACCCCCTAAAATGTCTTCACTCTTCAAGTTATTATTAAATAGAAGTGTAAAGAATATGTTGTGTGAAATAGACAAATAAATAAATAAAAATTGAAGGTTACCCTCTATTTTTTTGGTCCAAGATCCATCATTGATATAGTGCTAATTGTATAAAACCGTTAAAAAAAATAAACTCGAGATTATTTTGCATTCACAAATGGCATGATGCACAAATCAACATAATCCAATGATCAAATACATAATGGAGGCAATGAAGCATGTCGTCAAAAAAAAAAAAAAAAAAAAAAGAGGAGCAGAAACAACAAAAATCTCAACAATCAATTAAAAGACATACCATGAGCAGCAACAAAGGACCATTGAACAAATATCAGAGCACATACGAAAATTATCAATGCAAATTCACAATTCCTCATTTAGTTTGTAAGAAAAGAAGAGCAATAGAGAAGTATATGAAAGATTGGAGAAAGCTTAATTCATATTATAGTCTCGGGGTACTTTTATATACAAGCCTAATCAATAGCATTATAAAACAAAGTCAACTATGTACTTAAATAGAGATCACAAATTCTTATTTAAGGCGGACTTACGTTCATTTATTCTAAGACGGTTTAAAGTTATCCAAAAAATATATGAAGTTTATATACTATAAAAATTACCATTTTTCTAATATACATTTTACTTTTAGAAAAACAGTTATAATATAGTAGATTAATAATATTAGCTTTTATAACATGTATTTATTATAAAATACACATTAAAATAAATTAAACCTGTCACAAATTAAAAGTTACCTTTAAAGGAGTTAAAGTTACTATAAGAATGGTTAAAGTTATCCTCATATTGACCGTCTTTCAATAAATTAACACAAGTCCGTCTTATACAAGACTCGTTGAATAAAAATTACAATCTAATATATATATATGGAAGTAGAAAGACTAGAATCAAGGAGTGATTATCTTCACAATATTATGAGATTTTATCTTCAATATTATTAAGAATATGTCTTGATATTAACTTCCACAGTATATGCTTCTACTTTCAAAGATATACTTAGCTCAACAATCAAAAGTCAAATATTTCCAAGCAATTGGCTAAGATCAACTTTAATGGTATGCTATTTTATCTTCTAGCTTAAATTGCTACATCATTATTTTCAGCTAATATTCCTAGCTAATGTTTACTCCAATGGTAAGCTAGTTATTATTTAGATTTTTAAACTGTATTTTTTTAAAAAATAATAATTTTCATAAGAAACAAGAGTCAAGCTATTAGTGAATTATCCTTCAATGATTTGGCTATTAGCTTAAAAATTATAAAAATTGCAAACTAGTTCCTAAAAGCAATTATTAGAGTTGCTTTTATATATAATAATAAAGTAGCTAGCCATGTCTAAAGAATACGTTGATTCAAATAATAAAAAAGGACCCATTTGATTAATCAAACTGTCATTTTTGTCGATTCAATGCTTTGTCACTACTTAATTATACTACTTGTATAAAATAATACATGATCAAAGTGTTAGTAGTTTACCTCTTTTGATGGTTTATTTTATTGTAATTACTTGTATTTTATAAATAGTTAGTTGTTGGTATACCTTGAATATTTCCTGCGTTTTAGTTGTCATTTGTGGTCATGATTTCAAAGCTTGCGCCTTTTTACAAGTTTTGGAGAGATGTTTATAAGTGATTTAGTGTTAGAATCCGCCTCTTTCTCTATGTATCCCCCTTCCTTTTTCCTTGTATTATCCTTATGCAGTGTCTTTTAAGTCTTTCTTTTTGCTTTCTAGGCTCTGGGGGAAATTATTGTGGTATTGTAGTTTTAGCGTTTACTAGTATTTCTCCATGTAATCAATATAAAACTCTTTATGGGGCGAATGGTTGAATGAATGAAAGCTCCTATCCGGGTTGCCTTTGCTTTAAGACTTGTGTGTTGATTTAAGCCTTTATAGATATTGTGCTTGTCTTGTTTTAAAGCCTCCCCACCAAACCAAGAGAACCTCAAAAGACGCCTTCCTTATCGTCGGTCCCGCTTGTGCCCGCTTCAAAATATCGGCCGTCACAAGCCCCGACTCAGCACTCGTTGTTGACGAGTGCTTTGTTCAGAAACCTTTGGTCCGTGCTGCTGTGTGCCACGAACCCCCTTCGCTCTAGGCTTGCGTCCTTGTCGTCAATAGACAAGTGCGCGCCGCACGATCCAGTGTCAAAACTCTTGGACCGTGACAGTTGGTATCAGAGCCGGGTTGCTCGAGATATGTCGAACGGAGAGATGCCAGGATATACGTTGGAAGAAAGACTTGCTTGGCTTGAAGGCAAGTCAGAATAGTGAGCTATGTTGGAAGAAAGGATGCCCAAGCTCGAAGATATTGTAATAAAGCAAGCCGAGGAAATGGAGAGGCTCGCGTCGACGGTGGATGGGTTGACGGAGCAACTTAACTTTGTGCAAGGCTTAGCAGATGAGGCACAAGACAAATGTGCCACCTTGATGCGTGCTCAAAGAGGGCTCGGGGATAGTGGAGGTACTAAAATAAAATCTCCTAAACCTCGGACCTTTAATGGCACGAGAGACTCGAAGGAGGTTGACAACTTCATCTTCGACATGGAGCAATACTTCTGTATATGTCGGTTGGAGGATGAACTAAAGGTTGATACTGCCACGATGTACTTAGTGGACGATGCTAAGCTTTGGTTGCGCACCAAGTACGCCGATATTCAAGCTAAGAGAACGTCGGTAGACACTTGGGAGAATCTAAAGAAAGAGCTGATGGCTCAATTTTACCCCGAGAATACTGAGTTTGTCGCTTGCACCAAGCTTGCAACACTGCAACATAAGACCTCTATTTGGGAGTATGTGAAGGAATATTCGGCGTGCATGTCAGAGATTCATGACAAGTGAGAGAAGGATCGCCTATTCAACTTTGTGAGGGGTCTGAAAGATTGGGCTCAAAGGGAGATATGGCGCCAGAAAATTGATACCTTATCGGGTGCTATAGCTGCAGCTGAAAGGTTGATGGATTACTCGTCAGAAAAAGCGCCCATCCAGAAGAAGGGAAATAATGGGTCAACATCAAGCACCTCAAGGAGCACCAGTAGTAATTCTCAGGTTAGCTCGAACAGTGTGGGGAATAGGTTCAGGAATAGGGGAGAAGACTCGCGGAAGAATGTCTTCACCGCATCTACAAACAGAGGTGGGTCCCCGGGCTCATCATCATCATGGAACAAACCCCTCACCTGTATACTTTGTCGAGGGCCGCACAAATGGTTTGAGTGCCAGCATAAGTCAGAAATAGACAGCCTCCAGAAGAAACTCTCCTCAATGTCCTCTGACCCTCATAAAGGAGATGACAAAGAGCAGGACGTGGGAAGCGAAGAAGAACCTTCTAAGTTGGGGGCAGTCTATTGCATGTACGCTATGGGAAAAGAAACGTCGGAAGATAAGGGTCGTGCTACCAGCCTGATGTACGTAGATGTCTGGATAAACGGGAAGAAGGCTCGGGCGATAGTTGATACAATGGCCACTCATAATTTCATCACGAAGCGCGAGGCAAACAGGTTAGGGCTGAGAGCCGTGCATAGTGGTGGTCGCATGAAGGTTGTGAACTCTGAAGCACAACCGACTTGCGGCGTGATAAAGAATGTGAGCACCAGGATTGGGGAATGGAGTGGGAGCCTGGACTTCACAGTGGCAACAATGGATGATTTTAAGCTGGTCCTTAGGATGGAATTCCTACACACCAGCAAGGCTGTCCCGATGCCCGACCTAGGGTCCTTACTTGTGACAAGACACCAACCGTGCCTCCTACGGACACACGCCCAAGCTGAAAAGGGAAAAGAATTGAAAGGCCCCCTTCTCTCGGCGATGCAAATCAAGAAGGGGATGAGGAGGAACGAGCCCACGTTCCTTGCCACTTTCTCGATGAAGGACGAGGAGGTCGAAGGCGATATCCCGGAAGTTATAGGAGAGTTGCTCGGGGAATATGTAGTCATACTTCTTAAGGAGCTCCTAAAATCTCTTCCTCCTCGAAGGGCCATAGATCACAGCATTGAATTGGTGGCAGGTGCTAGACCACCTGCACGAAGCCCCAATCGGATGGACCCTCCGGAACTTGCAGAGTTACGTAAACAGTTGGACGGGTTGTTAGAAGCTGGGTTCATCCGGCCTTCCAGAGCTCCCTATGGAGCACCGGTCCTTTTCCAGAAGAAGCAAGATGGGAGTTTGAGACTGTGTATCGACTATAGAGCCTTAAACAAGCTGACAGTGAGGAATCACTATCCAATACCGTTGGTAGCAGACTTGTTCGATCAGCTAGGAGATGTTGTGTACTTCACGAAGCTTAATCTAAGGTCCGGCTACCATCAAGTCCGAATTTCTCAGGGGGATGAACCAAAGACAGCTTGCGTCACCAGATACGGCGCGTTCGAGTGGTTGGTCATGCCGTTTAGGCTAACAAATGCGCCTACAACATTCTGTACCTTGATGAATCAAGTCTTCCACGACTACCTTGACAGGTTTGTGGTTGTTTACTTAGACGACATCGTAATCTTCAGCAACACCCTAGAAGAGCACTTAGAAAACCTGAGGAAGGTGTTTGAGAAGTTAAAACAACATCACCTGTTCGTGAAGTGGGAAAAATGTGCTTTTGCGAAGGAAGAAGTAAGCTTCTTTGGACAGTTTATGGGAGGAGGCCGCATAAGGATGGATCCTAAGAAAATCCAAGCTATTAGTGATTGGCAAGCTCCGAAGAACGTCTCAGAATTAAGGTCGTTTTTAAGGTTGGCTAACTACTATCGCCGCTTCATTAAGGGATATTCAGAGATAGCAAGTCCTCTCACGGACTTGTTGAAGAAAGACAACAAATGGAATTGGTTGGAGAAACAACAAGGGGCTTTCCTCAAGCTCAAAGAAGCAGTAATGAAGGAACCGATTTTAGCCCTCCCTAACATTAACAAGTCGTTTGAAGTTGAGACGGATGCATCCGACTATGCATTGGGCGGTGTCTTACTCCAAGAGGGCCACCTAGTTGCTTATGAGAGTCGGAAGTTGAGTGGAGACGAGAGGAGGTATGCTGCCCAAGAAAAAGAGCTGTTAGCCATTGTTCACTATCTGAAGGGGTGGAGACACTACTTGTTGGGAGCAAAATTTATTGTTCGCACCGACAACACTGCGGCCAGCTACTTCCTCACCCAACCAAAGTTAACAGGGAAGCAAGCTCGTTGGCAGGAGGTCCTAGCGGATTTTGATGTGGAGTTCACGTACAAGACTAGGGCCAGTAACAAAGTAGCTGATGCCTTGAGCCGTCGTGCCGATTTGGCCCCCCTACAAAGACTGTCTCCCATGTCAGCCAGCAATGTCAAAACCTCAGTCAAAGATCAAGTCAAACAACACCACTTAGAAGACCCCATGACTAACACTATTAAAGGGCTGATAGAAGAAGGAAAGACAAGACGCTTCTAGATAGAAGACGGGCTCATTTTCACAAAGGGTAACA